AATATTCTAGTACATCACATGTCTTCTTACTAGATCTCAATGTCTTATTGGAAGCAACTTCAAATCATCCTTGTTGTCTGTTTTCTTCTTCTTCTTTTTTTGTCACCAGGAAAGGAGCAATATTGACATATGATACTCGTACAGAGTTGGCATTTTTTCATTCATTTACTGCAGCAGACTATGTTGCTGCTCAGCGGCGTAGCTGAGACTTGTTTCTAAAGCTACCTACACTAAAGCAATCTAACATAGTCATGAATTTCTTTCAGACTCCATCTAAGAACTGGTCTGATGTTATTGTTGTCATTTGAGAACTGATTTATTGATTTAGAAATATGGTGGCATCGAAAATGATTGAAACCATCAGATAGTTGTCTCTTACCTTAGGTTTACTTTTATACTTAATTAGTTCCCAAAACTTTTAAGTTGATAACTTTGGAACCTATCAATAATGTTCTCTGGGTTCTTGCAGGCGGAGGTTAATGTATTTCCATATGGAGATTTTCGTGAAGGTGGATATCATTGTGACACCTACAACTAGCTATGTCAACGACTTCCATACCTTTACCAAGGCTACTCTATTCCAGTTATTGAACATATTAAATGGCTAATCTAGAATGTGTAGACGGTAGATTAGTTTGCTTATACATGTCAAAGTTAGATTTTTGACATCCTGAACTTGTGTGCATAGGCAAGAATATTCCTATCACCATTTCTTATACTTCCTTCTGTATTAGCATGACACCACCCATAATTCCACCAAGTGCTATTAAAGTTGGGGAGACTGATTTGCAAGTTTCAGGTTTTTCGCATAGTTACCTCTTACCAGATATCAATAATTATGGAGTTAGTTGAAACTGTACAAAGGTTGTTTTTCTTCTATTTGTATTCGTGTATTCTATATTTCAGGAAATCTTTTGTGGTTTACAGCAGAGATGTTTCTTGTGTATTGGCTTTCTGATTGTCAACTGGTTCTTATATAACTGAGTCATTACACTTTTTCATAACGTGCTCATCATTAGTTTCATAGAGACCTTTCTGTTGAATTTTTGTTTTCTCATCCATGTGTATTCCACTTTGGTCGTGATCATCTGCATATGTTAGCTTACATGTTGCTGCGTGATTTTTTGAGGTTTTTTGGTTCTGATTGCCTTTTTTCTTGAGACAGACTAACTTCACTGCCATATCCCATTTGCTATGTATATCTGTAAGTTTTTAATGTCATCGTCTTTCCCTCAATTCAATCACCATCTACCTTCAAATTATTGTTTATTTGTGTTCTCGATTAGTTTTAATATAAAGTTGTATTGTACTCATACATGCAAGTGTTTCTACCACTGATAAAGTTATTTATTCCTTAATATCTCGACAATTCAAAGCCATGTATGTTACAAAGTGCATGTACACCGAGACTTGACAAAGAATAGAGATGCAAACTGTTTCTCTTTCGAGAATAAATCAAACTGGTTAGCTTTATTTGTGATATCAGGTAAATTGATGATAGCATTTTTTTTTTTGGAAATCAATTTTTTATTCTAGCATGTAGAAATGCTTGTTGGATTGTTTCTATGTACATTACTATCTGCAATAGTTACAACAGTTAAAGATAGACAATCATATATTTGAATTAATGTAGAAAACAAGATATCTATATGTTTGGGAAAGTTGATAATCAAGTTTACATCAAAAGGTTACTGATCAAGTGTACTATCTATGATCATGATCCTCATGTAAGTGAGTCATGTTTTTTCTGAGTAGTTTGTGCTTGTGAAAAGTAGGAATTATGTCTATCTAGAACAAAAAATGTCCTCTAACTCCTGCCATTTCTGAGGAAGAACTGCGGCTATGGAATTTGCTGCTCTGGCCGCTGTTCTGTTACCCGGTCTTGGTGGTGTAGTTATAGGAGATTATACCTAATCATCATCGTGAAACAAAGGGAATAATATCAATCCCCCACTGCTACTTGACAA